TATATATTATATATATATATAGACACATGTATATGTATATGTATATATTTATACACTAAGGAATTTTCGTGCGAAAGCGACTTAGTACTATCAGGCGAGAGGTGAAGAACAATATGGTTAATGAAAGATTTGTAACATTAAACCCTATGAAGTGTTAGATACATTAGCAAAACGTTGAGAAATCTGAGAAAGCCCGTTTAATTTGCACGTGGAGTTTAGTGGATGATTGATTAAATTATCATGTTGGCCAAGTCCTGAGTACGTCAGTAACATGCCAATCGAATACGGCTGCCACAGTTGACTTTTTATTTGAAAAGGCGTGTGTTTGTGGAAAAGGGGGGGGGGGGCATTGGACAAAGTGCTAATCTAGCAAAGATTTGGAAAACAACAGGATAGCAGACTAGAGACCAAATAAGGATAAATGCAAGTAGTTTTGTCTCTTATGTCCCTTTCCTAGTATGATCAAGTACAAGTAACTTGGGACTGGATACCCTCAAATATCCAAGTTTGTGACTTTCTGCAAAGGCCCGCCAGCGCACACATAATACAATGTACTTTAGTCATTTATGACTCTTGTACTTAAGTGAATGTAACTTTAGGTGTTAATTCTGCTGTGGCATCTGTATTCAAAACGAGGGTTCAGATAAGATGTAGCAACTCAGGGCTAGACAAATGGCTAATGTAACTCATACAAACCTAGTAATCAGTTTAGAGCCAGGCATACACCCAGGTACAGGGCAGGGAGGAGGTGAAGTCGGCGCTGTAGTAGTGGGCTGAAGTATAAAGAAAAAAATAACCACATCTAAAACTATTTTCTTTCAACATTGTTACAGTCGTTATCAACTGATTGTAGAATGTACAGGAAAAACGACACCTTTAGACTACATCAAACAAAATATTGGCTGACAATTTTAAATGTGTTTATCTATCCACATGGCAATTAATCCACTTGTATATAATAAATATATGAATAACTTGCGATTCATGGAGTATTGCCACGTATATCCCAGTGAATAACATATCTTATCTCGATATTGTTCTTTCTATCAGGATCTTCACTTCCGAAACACGGTAGCTAATAAGAAAAAGAAAAACACCCGTAGACATTCTGATCGTTGCAACTGTGTCCGTAATGAATTCTTTCTCGGACACTGCAAAATATCTTTGTAAACCCATTCAGAGTTCACTCCCCCCCCCCCCAAAAAAAAAAAAAGAATCCTGCTGTTTTCCTGGGACATAAAAAGAACGAAAACAACACACAAAAAAACCAAATCAAAATAACAAAACAGCAACCATAAACAGCTCATACCGATAAAATGAAAAAGTTATAATCTCAAAGTTTCACTCACAGGGATGGAGACGGGGCCACACTCAAAAAACCTGCAGCCATTATCATCGTAGCTGTGGATTTTTTAAAAAGTGGTAAAAAGTGGGATGGGGGGGTATTGAAAAGTGCAAATCATATATCAAGGAATTTTTTTATGTATAGATAATAAAAGATACGCCCATTATTCCCATGCCCACGACTCCACCACCACCTATCAACACACACACACACACACACACACACACACACACACACACATACACACATACATAATCTCTATCTCTCTCTCTCTCTCTCCCTCTCTCTCTCTCTCTCTCTCTTTCTCTCTCTCTCTCTTTCTAACACACACACAGTCTCTCTCTCTCTTTCTCACACACACACACACTCTCTCTCCCTCAATCCCTCTCTCTATCTCTCTCTCTTTCTCTCTCTTTCTCTCTCTATCTCTCTTTCTCACTTTTTCTTACTCGCCTTCCTCTCTCAATGCGCTCCGTTTTGATATTATAGTACAAGCCTATCTGCATATGCTGCTAACTTGTTTGATTCAATCTTTGAAGGCATTTTGTAAAGTGCCCTTTTCTATGGATCAGATTTTAAACATTTAAGGTCCAAGCAAGACTCATAAGCATAATATATCTAACAATGTGTTAAGCATAATCTACGAATTATATATAAAATTTAGACATTAGAATAATGTTGAGTATATTTTTTAATGTATAAACCTGCTCCCTTCATTAAGTATTGCAAGACAAATGTTTGTCTTTCAATAGCGTTAATAACAATAATAACAATGGTAATAATAATTATTACTATTCTAATGATAATAATAAT